ATCACCACCATCATCATCATCACCACCACCATCATCATTATCACCACCATCATCATTATCACCACCATCATCATTATCACCAACACCATCATTATCATTATCACCACCATCATCATTATCACCATCATCATTATCACCATCATCATTATCACCACCATCATTATCACCAACACCATTATCACCACCATCATCATCATCACCACCACCATCATCATTATCACCACCATCATCATTATCACCACCATCATCATTATCACCAACACCATCATTATCATTATCACCACCATCATCATTATCACCATCATCATTATCACCATCATCATTATCACCACCATCATTATCACCAACACCATTATCACCACCATCATCATCATCACCACCACCATCATCATTATCACCACCATCATCATTATCACCACCATCATCATTATCACCAACACCATCATTATCATTATCACCACCATCATCATTATCACCATCATCATTATCACCATCATCATTATCACCACCATCATTATCACCAACACCATTATCACCACCATCATCATCATCACCACCACCATCATCATTATCACCACCATCATCATTATCACCACCATCATCATTATCACCAACACCATCATTATCATTATCACCACCATCATCATTATCACCATCATCATTATCACCATCATCATTATCACCATCATCATTATCACCAACACCATTATCACCACCATCATCATCATCACCACCATCCAGGCCTCGAGATAAGTGCCGGTCACCGGTCACTGACCTGTAAAATTTCACAGTTTGACCGGCAAAAATCGTCGCCTGGCGGACATGTGTGACCGGTAAATTTATTAATAAAATGTTACCACCATCACTACTACCATTCTCGTTATCATCTTCACCACCATCACTACCACCACTATAATCATCAGCACCACCATAATCATTACCAGCACTACCACCACCATAATCATCATCAGCACCATCATCACTCACTACTGCCACTGTCATGATCACCACCATCATCACCACCATCACTACCACTATCACTACCGCCACCATCATCGCCACCATTGCTCAGATGATCACCACCACCATCATCATTATCACCACCATCATCATTATCACCACCATCATCATTATTACCACCATCATCATCATTATCATCATTATCACCACCACCATCATTATCACCACCATCATCAGTATCACACTGTTCCCGATTAATTGAACTGTCTATAAAATGTCTACACGAGATAATTCGCCACTTTATTCCGAGTCTTTAAACACAAAAAATAGCCTAAATATTGTCACACTAGTACTTTTTGTAGTCGAAAAATATAAACTAGAACGTTCAAACAACGTTTTGTCGCCCGCGCGACTATTTCAGCGGTCATGATAACAAGTACTTCATATAATAATATCGTTCGTTAACATCCCCCTCCCGAATGCAACGCATTCGATTCCACTTAATAGAGACAATAAATAGAGGGATTAGCAATGTCAATGAATACTAACAAATACGACTTAATTAACGTCCTTTATGTTCACTTCTATATAACGTTTCAGTTATCTATCTTCATTGTCCGAATGTTCGTCAACATACTTGAGAGGACACAATCGATGTATAGGACGGAAACATTCTTTGTTCCTGGATTTCACCTTTACAACTCGGATTAGGCAGTCACTTCCTTGATACGCTTCGATCACACGGGCAAGAGGCCATTCTCCCCTACTTGCTTTGGGTTCAGCAATCAATACCACATCGCCTTGTTTCAGGTTATGTTTGGGATGAAACCATTTCTTGCTTACATTAAGACGTGGTAGAAACTCCTTTCTCCAGCGCTTCCAGAACAGCTGTAACAATTGTTGTACTCGATGCCAGCGATTCCTAGGGTTGTTCGCTTCAACTTGATCAAGAGCTTCAGGAGCAAATACCCCACCGATCTGTCCGACTATAAAATGATTTGGAGTAAGTGGGGACGGGTCGTTTGGATCTGAACTCACATAAGTGATGGGCCGTGAGTTTACCAGACTTTCAGCTCCACACATTGCGGTCTGAAGTTCTTCATCCGTCACATCTGCATCTCCTAGGACGATTTTTATTGCCTTCTTGGCGCTCTTTATCATAGCCTCGAAAATCCCTCCAAAATGAGGGGCCGATGGAGGATTGAATTTCCATTCAATAGGTTGATACTTGGTGGTTTCTTGGGCAATTTTGTCCTGGTTAAAAGCTTGAACTAATTCTCTCATCTCCCGCTCTGCGCCCACGAAATTGGTCCCATTGTCCGATATAACATATACGGGCGTCCCCCTCCTCGATACCATTCGCGTAAAGGCATTGATGAAGGAAGCCGTGTCTAATGAGTATGACATCTCAAGGTGAACAGCTCTTGTCGCTAGACAAGTAAATAGGCATAGGTATCTCTTTGCTTTGGCTTTGCCTCGTCCTTGCTTCGTTAGAAATGGGCCTCCATAATCCACTCCGACTCTTTCGAAAGCTCGTAACGATTGAAGTCGCGGTCTGGGCAGCGGTGCCATCTTCTGCTCGGCTGTTTTTACAGAAAAACGTCGTCGACATTGCGCACATGACTCAACGATATTCCTTACCGCGCGTCTTCCTTTTACGATCCAGAAACGACTGCGTAGCAGTGTTAGAACCTGCTCAACTCCGGAACCATGTCCGAGTTCTTCATGTGCATCCTTGATGATGAGTCGGGTCACCACGTGCTCTTTTGGCAATAAAATGGGGTGTTTTGTGTTGTAGGATAGTTCATCCGCAAGTCTTAAACGTCCGTCCATCCTCAGAAGACCATCGTCACCGTTCTTTGGACTAAGTCGCAGTAAACATCCTTCTCGCTCTCCTTTCGGGAAAGCTTCTCGTTGCGCTTGTTTGATCCACCACTTTTCCACATTAAGTATTTCAGTTGAACAAAGCGTTCTGTCTCGTTTTCGTAATTCCCTTGGAAGTCTGCAGTTTGTAACGAATCGTTGAACCCATCCAGTCACACGACAAAGGCGACGGAAGGTAGAAAAATGGTTTGGATCAACGCCCAGGTTAACGCGCGCCTGGACCATGTACGTCTGTGCCACTGTCTTTTCAATATCTTCAACTTTCGTCTCCTCTCTAACGGAAGGCGCTGATGGCCCCGAGATCTCGACATCTTTCAAGAACGATGGTCCTTCCAACCAAAATGTGCTTTTGGCTAGTTCCATAGCAGATTGACCTCGGGTCGCTAGATCTGCTGGATTCTGTATCCCAGGTACATGCCTCCATTGCTCGGGACTCGTCGTCCGTTGAATTTCTGCGATACGGTTGGCTACGAAGGGTTTAAACTGCCGGCTGTGGTTTCGTACCCAATACCACACATTCTCGGAGTCAGTCCAAAAGATCACTCGATCGACAGTCAAGACTTTCAGAAGACTTTGAGCTAAACGGCTTGAGAGAATGGCACCCATAAGCTCCAGTCTGGGAATCGTCATCGCTTTGGTGGGGGCTACACGGCACTTTGATGCGACAAGGCGTGATGTAGGGCTATCGTCTTCATATTGGCACACCAAATAAGCGACTGATGCGTAGGCGTCTTTAGAGGCATCCGAGAACAGGTGTAGTTCCATTTTATTCGGGTTTGCGAGGCGTAAGCAGCGTGGTATGGCGACATGCGATAACTGCGAAAGTTCTGTAGCCCAGTTCTTCCACTTAGTTGCTAGATCACTTGGAAGGTTGTCATCCCAATCCAACCCTGCTCTCCAAATCTCCTGCATGAGAATTTTAGCCCGAACAAGGAATGGCGAGAGAAACTGAAGGGGGTCGTATACAGCAGCTATGGCGCTCAGAACATTACGTTTCGTAGGGGTTTTATTCGCATCAGGAGGTTCCACTCTGAAGGTAAATACATCTCTTTCAGGATCCCACAAGACTCCCAGAGTCTTGGTTTTAGACGGCTCTTCTTTGTTAATTTCAACAGCAGATAACCGGTCACTCTCGGGGATGCTTGCGACAACTGATGGCTCGTTCGACGACCATTTCCGCAGCCGAAAACCTGCCAGACCCAACAGGTCAGATAACTGGCGTCGCAGATCCTGGGCACTCTCTATAGTCTCGCTTGAATCTAAGACATCGTCAACATACATCGAGTTATCGACCGATTCTGCTGCCGCTGGGAATGTCTCTGTATGTGCTTGAGCGTGGGCGTGTATTACATACTGTGCGCAGAATGGCGAGGCAGTATTACCAAACAACAGGCGTCGAAACTCGTATACGTCGGGCTCTCTTGAAGGATCGAAATCTCGCCATAAGAATCTGTGGAAGGGACGATCTTTGTCTTGTAGACCAACTTGCAGGAACATTTCAGAAATGTCTGCGCTCAAAGCAACTGGTGCTCGACGAAAGCGGGTGAGAACATCTACTATTTCTCGTTGTAGTTTCGGACCTGGCCGTATGCTGTCATTTAAGCTCTTTCCGTCATGCTTCATTGCCGCGTCGAAGACAACACGAACTTTAGTCGTATCTTTGCTTGGCTTAATGACCGGAAAATGTGGGAGGAACCACTGCTGTTCTACTTCGGACTTGGGTACTTTCTGAATGTAGCCTTTTTTCTCATAGTCCTTGAATACTTTACTGTAGGCTTCCAGGATGCTAGGATCTTTCTTTCTGAGGGATTTCTCTTGACTTTGGAGTCTTAATAACGCCGCTTCGTAATTGTTAGTCAACTTCGGCTCTCCGTCCTTCCAAGGGATTCCTACCTCGTACAAACCATTCTCAAACTTTAGGGATCCAGCTACAGTTGCAGTTGCTGCTCTTTCGTCGGCTGTCATAGCCTGTTTCTCAGACGTTTCTTTGATTCCGAGTGCCTCAAGCTCCCAGAACTTGCGTAGAATGTCGTCCGGTGGTGGTTGCTGGTCGACATGGCAGGTACGGTACGTGCGTGTGAAGTGGGAACGAGAGTTACGCCGAAACTCGTTGACCAACGTTGGCCCGAAACAAACCCAGCCCAAGTTCGTTAGGCGTGCTACGGGATCACTTGGTTGGCTGCCGCGAATCTCTTCTAATACGTAGTGGAATACTGGATTATCGCTGCCAAGCATGACATCAATCTGCTGTCGCCTGGAAACATTGTCGAAAGGGATCTTCTGCAGGTGAGGCCACTTTTCCTTGAGTTCTGACCACTGTATGGCTGGTGTGTCGCTCGCAATGTTATCTAACACATGTGCTTGGACAGGTGTCGTAAATGACCTATCTAGACTAGTCACATTTAGTTCCACTCGGCGGGATCTTTTCTGGATCTCGATGCCCCCTGTTCCTGCAATCGTAAGGTTTACGTTTTGTCCATGCAACTCAAGCTCTTCTGCTGCTTCCTCTGATACATAGGAACTGGTCGAACAGGGGTCAAGCATTACATTGACCTTTAACTCTCTGTTTCCATTACTAATCAGGGCAGGTATTACCATTAAAGAGACGTTCTCTACTTTAGTTGTATTATGTGTTCTTTCTTGGGGCTGGAAATTGGTTGGTGGCAGATTGTCATCACGTGTCTTATCATTACGAGGAGCCTCTCTATTTTGGTTCGATTGTCCTGGGGGAACGTATGTCGGTGCATCAGGTCGTAAGTGTCCTCCCACGTCGTCCTTGTGTTTTGGAGGGCTTACATGAAGGTAACTGCTGTGGCCTTTACTCAGGCACCCATCAACACCACATTGTCTCCTTTTGGTGCAATCTTTGCTTCGATGTCCAGCAGCCAGACAACAATAACAGCGTCCAGCCTTAGTAATTAATTCTTTTCTCTTTAGGACGGGTAGATCTTTGAAAGCTTTACAAACCCACGGGGGGTGATCCTCTTTACAGTTTGGAACAATACAACATCGCGTTGTGAATCTAGTATTGAAGCCTCGAAAGCGTTTCTTCTGTTCAACACGGTTGTCCGTCTTTTTTCCAATGCCATTCGTTTCTTCTTTCGCCTCTTCCATAACTTGCACTCGTAATTCAACCCATTCTTCAAGTGCTTCAAAATTGTCTTCACGCGAGTGGTCCATCAGCCAATATTTGTAAGCTTGCACGTCTTCTTCTGGTAGTTTCTCTTTAACTGTTAAATTCAAGCTCTGTCCATGCAATGGTCCTGAATCCTGAGTGGCGATCAATACTCTTTCTAATAGAACTTGAAACTCTTCCATATCTTCCAGATTTCGAGGACGAATTTTCCGGAAATTGCGCAAAGCTGTTAGGTGTTTTATCTGTAAACGTCTCTCCCCTCCGTACTTCTTCTCCAATTTAGCCTTCGCTCTTTCATACGCATTAAGGGAATACCCGAGATCTTTCACCATGGTTAAAGCTTTACCCGACAAACAGCCTTGTAGTCTAAGCATTTTTTCTCCGACAGGAATATCACGACGATTGACAACAGACAGGAATGCTGCCTTCCAGGATTCATAGTCACTTTTTTCTTCGCCAGAGAAGATAGGGAGATCCACTCCTTTAAGTCTAATGGGAGAAAATGTCTGTCTTTGTTCTTTGTTTTCATTGGGTAGCTCTGAATGTTTTTCTAAGTGACGGTTAATAAGGAAGTTCTGTACTGTATCATTATCCGATACTTGCGATCTTCGTT